AACTCATGTAGTTCCCTGTGATGTTTGAATTCCTCCAATGTTTTGACGTGCTCCCAGAACTTCCGGATGGCTTTGTTGCTGAAGCCGCCAAGCAACACCGAGGAAAACTGCCAGGGGTTTTGAAAATAATCACTAACAAGAACCGAAGAGATGTAAAGAAGAGTGCATGGGTTGTTTTGCAAAACGTGTGAACCTGGAAACTCCTCGCACTTGCTGCATGGAGCATCTCATGTGGAAGGATGACCCACGCTTCCACCAACGTTGGCTCTTCGGCGTTGTTGACCTCCAGATGCACAAGTCTGTGTCATAAGTACTGAACAGTTTTCTGGACATCATACGAGTTTTTTGACAAACCATACAAACCACTATGTTTTAGAAAACTTCTCAATCAAGATCTAGTTGCGCTGAGTTCCAGCTCGATGCGGTATGGTTCCAGCTCAAACCCCCCAAAGGCCCCGCAACCAACGGTGTAAATCCCTCTCGGTGTTCTGGTCTGAAGCTCCATGGGCCCCACAACTAGTTAAAGCCGCCAAGGCCTTTGATTCCAAACCGTCAGATCGAACAGCGCGTGCGATGTCAGTAGCAGTCTGTATATGACTCCCACCTCTCCCGATACACTCAAGTAGTTTGTTGACAGTCTGGCTCTCCGGCAGTGATTCAAGCCTTTGGCGTTTTCCGGCACATAGGTGACCTGGCCACGGAAGAAAAACATGTTCTCTTGTTTGATGTTTTGCACGTACTCAAGTTGAAGCTTTCAAGCTTCAAGGACACAACATGACACAACTCTTCTCTAGTTTAATGAGTTGGAAGTTCACATCTCTTTCCTACATCTCCATTTAGTGAGAAGGACCCCAAACAAGCGCACGACTCTTCGTTTCTTCCAATCTCATTCCCATGTGTCCATGGCGTTCTAAAGACCCCAGACAAGCATGCGACAGTTGCGCATGGTGCCACACCCCGATTGGCCAAAATCTAAACGGTGAAAGACACAGCCGATCACGTACTCTTGACGTCAGGCTTATCACTGCCAGACTTCTCTTCTTTATCTTTCTTTCCCTTCTTGCTCTTGCTGCTCTTGGACTTGGACTGCTTCAGGAGTCCAGAAGCCGATGCCTGATGGGCGCAGGAAGGCAGATCTGTCACTTGGCGTTTTGTTGTTGGGATGAGTTCAACAATGTTTAACATATTTTGGGACACCGTACTTGGGAAGCATGAAACAAACTTTCAACATACTGTCGCCTGCGCTTTGGTGAACCAAGCGGTATTGCGATCGATCTTGTTGAAAAGGTCTTGGAAGTACTTGTCTTTGACAGGGGGGATCTGCGGCAACCAACTGTTGCAGCTCCATGTACTTTCCCTCAACGCTCTCAGCATGATGCTTCAACTGTTTCGCCAACTCCTGGGCAAACTCAATCCCACTGAGCTGGATGCTCCTCTGCCGAGCCTTTGTAGATTCCTCAAGAATCTGAGGCAAACGATCTTGCGCCAACCTGGGCCGCTCGACGACAAGGAGAAGATGACGGTGAAGCATCTTGGAACCGGGTATCTGGCCCGGAAAGGATGAAGAATCTAGAGGGTCAAGAGAGGTTCCTGAAGCTTAGGTCATTATCTAATTCTTTAGATCAAACATGATCAAAGGATCCGATAGAGATTTCTTAATTTCACCAGGAGTTTGGAGATTTGATTCAAAGGCTCAAAGATGCTCAAAGGATATCAAAGGATCCTAGAATATCCTAGAGGTCCCTGAATTTAGACCGGCTCAAAGATGCTCAAAGGATCCTAGAAATCCTAGAGGTCCCTGAATTTAGACCAGTGTACACTGAGACCCCCACTCGATCATCGTCTTTGGCTTCACATCTTCGGTTGCCTTGTCTTCGACAATCTTCTCTCTCTCTTGGGCTTCTTCACTGTTGCCTTGGCATCATCCAAGGATTGAAACAGCCGCTTCTGCCCAGCCTCGTTCACGCATTTGGCGCTCGGCATGGCGCCGGCTGCCAAAGGACCCGCTTCACTGCACAAAGCATCTCGAAGAGCATTGTCGACACTGCGTTCAGCTCGCATTCGGAACGATTCGCTGGTGCTGTCATCGGTGCGGACTAAGCGGCCAGCCGGCATGTAGATCCAGGTCTCCTGAAACCATTTTGGGTCACGAGTGTAGGAGGATCATAATTTAATCTATTTTCAGCCCGAGGTTTACTGCAATGACTCCCACTGAATATAAAAAAATATAAACGCAAATGATTCTTTTGAAAGCCTTGTTGAAATAAGTCCCTAGGGTCCATTGGATCGTCTGGGAAGTCTTCGTCCAGGTAGTAGAGGCTTGCCGCCTTCCGCTTCTCGATGATTTCAGTACTTCGCTCCTTGCCATACTTCTGGATTACTTCTCGGGCTTGCACCGCTTGCCACTGGTTTCGGTTGAGGGTACTGGTTTGGTTTTTGCGCTCTGCTTCGCAGGCAACCGCATCCCAGTCCTCCCCAGTGTCCAGCCACATGTTGAAAAGCTCATTCTTTTGTTTGACGAAAGCAGCAGCTAGCCGTGGTGGGAAGAGGTTCTTGTTCATAGACTGTCTGATGAACTTTTCCCACTCCTTCTTGTTGGTAGTGCTGTTTCTCATCATCTTCTTTGCTGCATCCTTGGAATCCTTCACAGCCTTTACAAGTTCTGGCTTTTCAGCATCACTTTCATCGTCTTCATCATCCTCCTCCCCTTCATCCTGACTCTCTCTTGCTTCCTCCTCCTCTTCGCTCGGGGCATCGGCCTCGTCTCCACTGCCGCCTTCTCCTTCATCATCACCCTCTCCCTCTTCTTCGTCCTCATCATCTTCTTCATCTTCTTCCTGCGTCTCGCTTCCTGATGTCTCGTCTTCTTCAAGTTCATCGCTCTCACTGCCCTCATCTTTGTCCTCCTCCTCTTCATCGTCCTCCTCCGGCTCCTCCTTCCCACTGCCCTCTTCTCCGCTTTCTTTCGCGTTCTTCTTCTTAGCCTTCTTTGGCTCTGGATCCTTCCCACTGCCCTCTTCCTCGCTTTCTTTCGCGTTCTTCTTCTTCTTAGCCTTCTTTGGCTCTGGATCCTTCCCACTGCCCTCTTCCTCGCTTTCTTTCGCGTTCTTCTTCTCAGCCTTCTTTTTCTTCAACTCATCTTCCAAGTCATCGTTCGTGTTGAACTTTGGAGGCGCCTCCTTAATCTTCTTCTTCACTTGAAGCGCCTCCTCGATTGACATGTCCGGATAGGCTTTATGACACCATTCCAAGAAGTCATCCATGCCAGCAGCATCGAACTCAGCTTCCAGCCTGGCTTGCTTCAATGCGCCCTGAAGATCTTTCCTCATCGCAAAGGCTGCCTCAGCACGAGCCTGCTTAGCAGCTTGTTTGGCAGCAAGGGCATTGGCCTTCTCCTCCAGCTCGGCCAAGGCTTGGGGCGACTTGACACGGAAACGTCTTGGGGGGAGGTGTCTTGAGCCCGTCTTCATTGTTTTTCTTGTCGTCATTGGAGCCTTTTGTCCTGTTCTTCTCTGCATGGTCCTTCTCCTTGTTGGTCGCCTTTTCCTTCTTCTTGCTCTGATCTTCCTTCTTGCTCTGATCTTCCTTCTTGGTCTGCTCTTCCTTCTTGGCCTTGGTCTGCTCTTCCTTCTTGCTCTGATCTTCATTCTTTTTGGTCTGATCTTCTTTCTTCTTGCTCTGATTGTCCTTCTTCTTGGTCTTCTTTTCTTCCTTCACTTCTGTCGCATCGTCCCTTTTCTTCTCATCCTTCGAATCCCCCTTTTTAGCCTTGTACTCCATGATGGTCTTCTGCTTTGGGTCCTTCTTCTTTGCGCTCTCTGCGGCCTTCTTTTGCTTCTGATCATTCTTCTTCTTCTCTGCTCCCTTGGACTTACCAGTGTCGGCAAAGGTGACATGAGGTTTCACCTTGATCACTTTTTTTCATCTCCTTGGTCTTTCTCAGCGCAGACGGCCTGGCCTGCTGCGCAGACTTGGCCATGAATGACCCTACCACAGATCCTGGAAATGTGTGGGTCCAGTGCCAGGTGAACGCTCGAGCTAAAACAATTGCAATGTATGCAGCTCTCTCACAAATGTTGCAATGTGTTTCTCCCATTCGCATGTGTTCTAGTGACTCCAATTTTTTGCAGATTTCTGAAACATGTTGAGATATTACCAGATCTCCCATTCGCATGTATTCTCACCCGTTCGCATATGAATTCTCTCCCATTCGCACGTGAATTTGGCCGGAAAAAAATGCAACAAAATGAAACTGGGTTGGCGTTTCTTCGCTCTCTGCAGGATTAAGCGAGCAGCCGCTGACCTCTGGAGGGCCTCCGCTTCAGATGAAGTCGACCTGGCAGTGGGGACACTTGGTTTGCGCATGATTGGCTGCAGGGTGGGGTTGAACAGGAGGGCAGCATCCCTTTTGCCACATGTGATCTCGGAATGTTTTGGCACATTGCGTTTCTAAGTTGCTGCGTGTCTTTATTGTGTTTCCCTGACATGAAAAGGACTGTTTGCTCCAATCATTGGACACGCTGATTGTTGAGACTGCGAGCAATGCGCATACACCCAAATGATCTTCTCCGCTCCGCCTGTCCAAGAGTCAATCCAATTAGGATTTGGTGAGGGAGCCCCTAAGAAGGCTCACTGCATCACTGAAAGCTTTTTGCTCACTGAATTGGCAAATTCTGTGTGTTTCACACAGCGTTTACTTCGAAAGATATTCAAAAATATCCCCCCAGCTGGGCAGCATCCATCCAAATTTTGTTGATGTGCGAAGAGCAGTTGGCATGAGCATCCTCTGCGCTGCAAGCCTGCTTCAGGAAGTGTCGGGCTTGTCGCTTGTGCTGCTTGGCATGGATCGATCGGATCTTGGACATGCTAACTCCAAACCTGAGGGGAAGTTAATGGTGGCCTTCAAAAACACTCCAATTGTGGCCTTAAGAGACTCTCAAGGCCACCTTGAATAGGGATTGAAGGTCGATGAAGGGATTGGCAAAGTTATCAAAACTAAATCAAAACCAACAATAAGACCCTTTAATCCTTTTAATTTCAAAGGCTAGACACCTGCGTGGATATGCTTGCGACTGTTTAAGATCTTTTCCTCCTTTCACCCGAGATTTCCCACTCCCGTCGACGTATTTAACCGTCATCTCCACATCCTCCGTTTGGGGCTTGGCTGACTTGTCCGCGTAATAGGCCAGGTCAGCAATCTCTGGGTGGCCTTGGGTGATATTTGCAGACTTCATGAATGCCCTTTCATACCCACAACCCAAACTTCAATACACTTTTCCATGGGTTGCTCATGTGTTTTGGGACGCACGAACATGGGTTGCTCATGTGTTTTGGGACGCACGAACATGAACGTGAACCTGCAAATAGTGCCAAAAAGGAAAGGTTGACTTGAATCCAGATGGAGCCAAAGCACTACTGTACAGCCATGTTGGTTTCCGAGTCGGGCCACCATAGTACAGCACGCATGTCGAGTGCCTTTTGACGCGAAAGCCCTTCAGCCTCAACATTCGTTGAAACAATGGGTGGGACTCAAGGAGAGAATTGCATGGCTGTTCAAGCACCCACCAAATCTGACGTGCTGTTGCTATGACCAGCAAGCACACCACGCGCGCCACCATCATGTTTGCATCGCGCACCGACTGGTAGGAATCATCACCCAGCGGACACGCCTTCGTGCGCTTTGTGGAGCCCCTCGACCTCGGATGTGAAGAAGGGTCAGCAGGCTTATAGATGTTTATAGGTTGTACCGGGACCGTTTACCATAAATATCAAATATCCTCTCTCAAGCTTTCTTGGAAGACATGATATGTCTTATACACACAGCACCGCATTGAAACCATGAGCGAGTGTCATGAACACCCATGACGAGCACACTGGCGCTGCGAAGAATCCTCCTCCCGGCTTTATTGCCAAGAGCTGGGCCAAGGTGTTGCAAAACCCGATTGGTGTAAGTATATCATGGTGGGCACCGAGCCGGATGTCCATTGGAATCGCTTTGCGTGCCTCCTCAAGGGGATTGCAGGTAAGTATATATCTCAATTCATACCTTGACAGGGGTTTGCGATTAAAAGACAAGAATCCTGTCACATGTCAACATGAGAACACCCTTTCCACACCCATCCTGCCATTCCCCAATTGTCACCGCCATCTCCCCAGCGAAGGTCTCCACATGATCCAGAGGTGTAAGGGGCACGTTGGTGCTGAACATCATTCCAACCAACGTCAGCAAAGCCTGAGATGCGAGGTAACGGTCTGTTTGGCGTTCTTCTACTGAACTTTGGGACTTTGGGCCAGTTCCCAGTCTGGAAACTTTTTTATGGAGCAGGAAACTTAGGCTTCTTTTATTAACAAGACCTCGGAGTAGGTCTCTCAATTCCCAAAAAAGGATATGATATAGTATGATATAGTATAGATTGCTTTCGGTTTGAACGAGCCACAAGCGGAGCGCCCATCCATCTGAGGCCAGCCATAGTCCACATCTTTTGCTTCGACTTCCATGACACAGGCTTGGATCTATGTTGGCCGACTTGGAAAGGAAGGCGGTCACTGGCTGACTTCGCACGTTTCGTCGAAACTCTCCTGGAGATCCCCTTGACCATGATTGGGGCTCGGGGCAACTATAAGACAAACTGGGAGGCTTGAGGTCAAAATCAACTGAAGTGGAACGCTGATGTAAAAGCAGCTAGCCAAAAGCCATCTCCCTCATAGTCTTGAAGCAAAAGCGATTGATTGGAATGCTCGGTCCCAAAGTATATATTCATATATACATATATTCAAGATTGTTTCGCACATCTCTTCAACTCACACCCACCCAGCTTGGCAGGCCGTCCCTCTCGCCTCTCATGATGGTCGATCTCCTCGATCTCCCTGCAGAGTGGTTGGCCGTGACTTGCGAACTTGGTGGAAAGGGTCTTGTTTGGGCCTGGATGGTGAAAGTGGTGGTGTTACAATTATAGCGTGTTCTAACAGCAACGTTGTTCAACTTTGTCTTGACTCGTCCATGATAGTCCACATCTGCTCATACTCGATCGCAAAAACCAGTTGGAGGGTCCTTTTTGACGGAGTTGGAATGAAAAAAACCGCAATCCCAGATCACTCTGACCCTGGCCTCAAAACGGATGATCGTCTTCGGCTGCTCGTGTAGATGCAAGCCTTGCATCCAACCAACACATGTGGGCTGGCTTGGTGAGCAAAAATACACTGATATTCCTTTAGGTTGGGGGGCCATCATTAGGTTGGAAGCCATCCCTATATTGGGTTGAACTTGGAGGCCATCGCTATTGGAGCCCCTGGCTCTTAATGCACGAGACTCGATCCTGAAAATGTTGGACATCGCTATGGGTTGGAGGCCATCGCTATTAGGTTGGAGCCCTTGGCTGAATGCACTCGATCCTCAAAAATTTTGCAGGCCATTTCTATTAACTAGTATAGATTGGAGCCCCTGACTCAATGCACTCGACCGTCAAAGGCTGGAGGCCATCTCTATTAGGTTGGAGGCCATCTCTATTGGTTGAAGTGGTCTCTCACGGACGCCAGCCTGGGTTGGCGATCCAAGGAAGCGCCTCCACGTGCAGCTGCCAGCAGCTGCGCGCCGGCGCGGCAAGCGGCTCATCGTACCTGGTGGGGTGCGAAAAAGATGCTGATCGATCACACGCCTCGATCGAAACTCTCGGAGAGCAAGGTGCATTGATCAAAACAAAGAATGTCAGATATTTGTTTATCATCTACTCATATGTATGATAAACGTATTTACACATAGCATGTTTGGTCTTTCGTTTCCCTTCTACAAGAAATGTTTGTTTGCGCCTGTCGCAACTTGGCGATCGAGTCACAAACCATCGAGATAAGATCCAACACGATGGTCTTCACACTACCCTGTACCCCAATGTTAAAGCACCTCTCACAAAGATATGTTGAGAGATGGTGAACCCGCACCACTCTTTTCGAGTGATCACTTCAACGAAAAGAACCCTGCACGGGCTGTTGCCACTGCCCACGCCTTGGACGCCCCATCATGGCGGCTCCATGTTACTTGCCCTTTGCGGCACTCTTCTGAAGCTCCAAACCCCACACGCTTGATGACATAGCAGCGCTTGTTGCACAGCACTTCGATTGCCTAGCGATGGGTTCAACTGCTTTTTAAAATTATATATAGTGTTAGGGCCAAGATGAAAACTAGTCCTGATTCACCAAAAAAATCAGTACACACAACCCACGCGATATGAATTTCAAAACAATGCAAAAGACTTGCGAAGCAAAGGCCAAAGAACAGCGTCATTTGACCCTGTCACAGTGTAGCCGTGCTTTCCGTGATGGACCTTGCTTTCATCTGGCCAAGCGCAACGTGGCACACCAAGATCCTTCAAGTTGTACCCCTTGAAGAGGTGCGCAGCTGGTAGCGGAGAAGAGGTCTCCTTGCAGGCCTTCGAAGTACTGGCCTTGGAAGTACTGGCCATGGACTTGGACTTGTCCTTGGAGATGACTCCCTTGACCTTGGAGGTCTTGGAGTCTGCGCGCTTGGACTCCTCCAGCTCCTCCTGCTGCTTCTTCATGCCAGCAGCCTTGAAACAGGTCAGCTACACGAACAAGCAAATCAAATTCCCCTGTCAACATAATTGAAAGATGAACGCAGGGGCTGGGGTTTGAAGACAGTTCATGCTGAGGCACTGTTTGTCTCCCAACTGGAGGTGGAGTGAACTTATCCTCATTCAAGGCCGTCGACATCAAACCATAGCTCCGCGGGGTGACCAATTCACCGCAGTCATGTGACGCTAAAGGCTGATACGTCTTGTGCTCGGCCTCTGACTCATCCATGCTGAACTTGAGAGCTTTCTTGACATTGTCAATGTCAGATGCATCGCTCTCCTGCCAGAATCAAAACACACAGGTAGAAAAGCAACAAAAAGCTGGATACTACCTGGTCAGGATTTGGAAAGCTTCTGGCAAAACTTTGTTTAACTAGTGCGACTGAAATTGCAAAATTTTCCTTAAAACTGTTCAGACTTCTCCTGAGAGAACTTCCTCTTCAGCTGCGACGGATTGTTCTCATGACCATTCTGTCGACACCACGCATCAAAATGGTCAGGAGTGGTAAGCCAGCAGGCTGCACGAGGACCAAACCTGGCAAGGGACCAGTCGATGTGGTGCAAGTATTGCATGAACTTTGGGTGGCGACACATGGACTGGTGGTTGTTTTGGATGAATCTCATCACATCAAGAGACTTGTCGATGATCTCAGGTGTTCTTGGCCCGGAATTTCCAGCCATCGGGGAAAGGAAGAGCTCGACATTCTCCTGCCATTCCTTCTCGTGAGGCTTGGCCACCAGCGGAGTGCCAGGTTGTGACTTGTCGCTCGCATCAGAACCACTCAAATCACTTGAGTCGTCCTCGCCCAACATCAAAGTGCGTTTGGTCAGCAACTTTGCATTAGGGCCATCTCCAGAACCAGATGGTACTGCAGGGCGCTCAGCCTCACTGTCACCATCATCCGAAGATGCAAGACCATCGTCTTCAATGCTTCCATCATTTGCAGACTCAGGCGCACTGTCGCCCGGTTCAACAGGATGAATACAAGCATGGGCTCCCGCCTCATCTGACTCGCCATCTGATGACTCCTCGTTGGCTGACTCGAACTCTGGCTCGGCAACCCCATTTCCATCATCATTCAAAGCTGGCATGACCGGAAGAGCCTCAGGACTGTGTTCATGATCTGCAGCTGCTTGACCTTTCTTTGGCGACTCTTTCAAGAATGATTTGAGCTCGGTAACCCTTGGATGGTGCGCGCCACCAGGAGAAGACCTCCAAAGTGCCCTGAGGGCTCCTAGAAGTCTCTTGAGACGTTCAGCTTCTTCACCTGCAAGAACTTTCTTTGTTTTGCCGTCCCGCTGGACCAGCAACTTGCCATCCAGAAGACTGTCCAGGAACAAGACAACGTCTGTCAAGTAGATGCCTCCTGGAACAGAGTGAGGATGGTTCTGCACGAGGCCTTTGAGGTATGGGTAGTTCAAGGCAATTTCCCCACAGCTCGGCCTGTGCATATCAGACTCTAGCTGCACGATCTCTCCTCCATGCCATCCATCATCGTCAATCATACTCAAAAGCACCGCCGGCAGCTGGGCTTTCATCGCCAAAGCATCCGTCTCCACATCTTTCTCAGTCCAAGCTACTTTGCCTGGTCCTTGCGTGAGCATGGCTCCAATGAGGACAAATCCAAAAACGAACGACCGAAAATGAGTGATATCATTACGAAAAAAAACATGACGTGAAGAATATTTGAAAAATAGAATCAACACGCCACAAAGTGTCTGACGGACTTCCAGGTGCCTTTGCGCAGTGACACACCGAGGGGCCCGCTCATGACGATAGCGAGTCTACCCACCTTGTGTTTCAGCAAAACTTCCGGGCAAGGATGGCTGCGACAAATGATTCGTCCTGCATGCGTCATGGACACAAGTTCTGTGGGGCCTGTTTGTCGACCAGACTAGTGACTAGTTAGTATACCCATCCAGAACTGAAGCACCGACCGAGTGATCGAATCCAACTCCCGACTTGGCGCACGATGTGTGGAGGCATCACGACGCCGGGAGGGAGCCGGCGGGTCCGATAGCAATCTCGACTTGCCAGCCGTGATGCACACGCAAAAGGACTTGTCTAAAAAAAATCACGCGTGTGATGCCTGCACATGGATGGCCCAGGTTTTTGGCTCACGCATCAAAACCTTCGACAAATTCAACTCTTCAACTGCACGTTCAACTGCACGTTTCGTTTCATGGATCGATGTACGCTCTAGAAAGAGTGCACACCATGCGCAGCACCGCACTTGTGGAAAGTATATTTTTAAAATGTATCTGGGAGGTGTGTATATGAGAGAGTGTGCCATATGTCCACGAAGCCGCGAGAACAACGCGAGGCTAAGACAAAACGTCACCTATGGCCAAAATTATATCTGCGTGAGACCAGTTGTTCTTTTGCTTGGCAGCGACTGCACCTGGCAGCATTTTGTCTTGGAAGGGCAGGTGTGAGACCAACGCATACCATTCTCGGTTTGCAGCAGTCATCACGTCAGAACTTGCACTGAACATGGCACATGCACCCAAGAGAAGACATACAAGAGACATGGTTTTCTACAATTGGCAAGTGGCGTTGTCTTACGTTGAAACGATGTCCCTTGGACAAGGTTGGAGTGTCTAGGTACACGGTGAGGTGCTTTGTCGTTTCGTGGAGATCTGTGCTGTGGGCAATGATCTCTACCATGGCAACTCCCCTGAGGTAAGCATGAATGAACTCGTCATTGAATTGCGGTTGGTGCAGCCAGAGAGTAGCAACAACTGCCTTCTCTTTTTTTGGGAGTGTACTTGGTCCACTCACGGTTCAAAAACGATCTGA